AGTTTCTTCATCTTCCGAGCATTCGTTTCCTTGTCTATAAATCAAGAGGTACACCCACTAATTGAGTTGTTGGAAGGAGTTTGTGTGTGTGTGTGTGTGTGTGTGTGTGTGTGTGTGTGTGTGTTTTAATTTGGAAACAAACATTCCAGATGTTTGATCTGGTATTCTAGATCTATGATCTAGTGTAATGAGTGTCTTTGATACCAAATTTTCCCAATGTTTTTTAACATGACGGAATAGAGGGCTTTAAAAAGAATATACCTTCTTTACATGAATTCAAAAGTCCCATGATTAAGACCCATCTCACTTTTAAAAAGTGGGGGGAGCGCCTGGGTAGCTCAGTCGGTTGAGTGTCTGCCTCTTGAACTCAGCAAAGCTCTTGATTTTAGGGTCATGAGTTCAAGCCCATGTTGGGCTCCATGTTGGGCTCCATGCTGGGCATGGAGCAGTGGGGGTGTTTTCCTCACTTTATGCGGAAGATGCACCAAATAAGGTTGAAGGCGATTCCTGGTCACAGCCTGCCTAACCTCGCCCTCACTCTCATTCTCGCAGCCCTTTGGGCCAAATGCAAAGAGGCTGTGACATGAGCAGAGCCCAAAGCAGCCCCCAAGGCCCCAACATGGCAGTTGGGAAGGAGATTTAAATAAAAGAATGCAATTAAAATACTTAGCACTGTGCCCAACACATTGTTGGTAGCTGTCATTAGTGTACTTGAAAATCAATTCTGTGTGTATGATAGATCCTTTTCCAGAATGTGATCAGAGCAGAGTCTAGGGAGATCGAGAAACCTATCCATGGTTTATTAAATCAAGAAAATTAGCCTCCTTGAGGTCTAGAGTTCCTAAATCTGGTGTCCTTTAAAAAGGTCTTCATTTTGGGGGGCACCTGCGTGGCTCAGTCGGTTAAGCCTCCCACTTTGGTTCAGGTTTGTAGGTTCGAGCCCTGCGTCAGGTTCTGACTTTTTAAAAAAGTCTTCATTTTTTATGGGTTTATTTATTTTTGAGAGAGAGAGAATGCACACATGCAATAAGGGTAGGTAGGGGCAGAGAGGGAGGGGACAAAGGATCCAAGACAGGCTCTGCACGGACAGCAGAGAGCCCAATGCAGGACTTGAACTCATGAACCATGAGATCATGACCTGAGCCGAAGTTGGATGCTTCATCAACTGAGTAACCCAGATGCCCCAAAAGGTCTTAATTTTAAATAAATAGTATCCAGGCTGCCCTTTCATATTTTCATGTAACCCACCCAAGATTTTCTTTGCTATCTTCTCAAGCTGAGAACTAGAAGGCCAGGCCCTAAGTTTGCCAAACATGGCCTAATAGATAAAGCCAGTTAAAAAAAAAATCTCTAATGATCTTAAAACAATAAATATTAATTCAAAATATAAAAATTTAAGAGGAGTAAAAAGAAGCACAAAAGATAAATGAAAAACTAGAAAATAATAAATATCAAGTATGATTTTTTAAACCCTTTTTAAAAGTTTTAACTCCAGTGTGGTTAACATACAGTGTTGTATTCGTTTCAGATGTACAATATAGTGATTCAACACTTCCGTACATCACCTGGTGCTCATCATGACAAGTGCCCTCTTTAACCCCTGTCACCTATTTCATCCAACCCCCACCCACTCCCTTGGTAACCATCAGTGTGTTCTCTGTAATTAAGAGGTTACTTTTTGGTTTATCTCTCTCTCTCTCTTTTTCCCCTTTTGTTTTGTTTCTGTTTTTTTCTTTTTTTGAAGATTTACTTATTTTGAATGAGAGAGAGTGAGTGAGCAGGGGAGGGGCAGAGAGAGAGAATCCCGAGCAGGCTCCTCCCTGATGTAGGGCTCTATTTCATTTACCGTGAAATCATGACCCTGAGCTGAAATCAAGAGTTGGACCCGTAACCAACTGTGCCACCCAGGTGCCCCCCTGTTTGTTTTGTTTCTTAAATTCCACATGTGAGTGAAATCATATGGTATTTGTCTTTCTGTGACTGACTTATTTCACTTAGCATAATAATCTCTAGGTCCATTCATGTCATTGCAAATGGGAAGATCTCATTCTTCTTTATGGCTGAGTAATGTTCCATCACTTATTACATATATGTATACATATATATGTATATATATACCACATCTTCTTTTTAAAATTAAAAATTTTTTAATGTTTATTTTTGAGACAGAGAGAGACAGAGCATGAAGGGGGGAGGGTCAGAGAGAGAGGGAGACACAGAATCCAAAGTAGGCCCAGGCTCCAAGCTGTCAGCACAGAGCTTGATGCAAGGCTTGAACTCACGAACTATGAGATCATGATCTGAGCTGAAGTCGGATGCTTAACTGACTGAGCCACCCAGGCACCCCCACCACATCTTCTTTATCCATTCATCTATCAGTGGATACTTGGGCTGCTTTCATAATTTGGCCATGGCAAATAATGCTACAATAATCATAGGGGTGCATATATTCTTTCAAATTAGTGTTTTAATGTTCTTTGGGTAAATAGCCAGTAGTGTGATTGCTGGATCATAGGTAGTTCTATTTTTAACTTTTTGAGGAACTTCCATACTGTTTTCCATAGTAGCTGCATCAGTTTGCATTCCCACCAACAATGCACAAGGGTTCCTTTTTTTCCACATCCTCACCAACATTTGTTGTTTCTTGTGTTGTTGAGTTTAACCATTCTGACAGGTGTGAGATGATATTCCATTGTAGTTTTGGTTTGTATTTCCCTGATGATAAGTGATGTTGAGCATCTTGTCATGTGTCTGATGGCCATCTGGATGTATTCTTTGGAGAAATGCCTGTTCATGTCTCCTGCCCATTTTATAATTGGATTATTTGTTAAAATAAAGTATGATATTTTATTATCCATTTATTTATTTTTATAAAGTATGATTTTAAAAGGAAAAAACAATTTGAGTTGCACTTTTAATGAAAGATAAATCAAGAGTAGAAAATGTTAAAAAGGCAGGAAAATGTAAGGCAAGAACTCCAAAAGAATAAAAAACAGTGCAAGTTAGAACAAAGTACTAAAATAGGGAAGAGCTACAAAGTTTTAAAAACAAGGTAAAAATATATCCTCCAAAAAGATAAAGAACAGATCCATCTGGAAGTAGGCGAGTGACGTGATCTTAAGTGGGTCCTCTAAGCTGGAACAGTTTCCCAGCTCAGGGTCCTCTGTCTAGGCTGCTGAGAGTGGGCTGTCTGTTAATACTGACCACTTTTGTGTAGTGCTCCCGAACCACTCCTCTATCCTTTACCTACTTGTTTCTGTCATTCCTCCCAAGTGCTCCAGGTCGTAGAAATTGCTATCCCCATACAGAGAAGCAAACTAAGGTTTGGATAAGTGCCTTGCTCCACTAGCCCCTTCTGATGCCAAAACCCATGTATATGCTTGATCTTTTTCACTTTTCAAGAAATATTGACATCAATACATCAACAATGTATTGTTGTCATCAACAACAGAGACAATAACAAAATCCCACACCCTTTAATCCTTCCCACTCACCATGTCAAGATTACCCATCAGATTTGGAGAGACTGACATTCTTAGCAAACAGCCCAGCAATAGTAAATGTGCAGTGGGTGCTCTGTTTACCTTAATAACCCTCTGGAGTGTTAAGGTTTTTTTTTTTTTTAAGTTTATTTATTTATTTTGAGAAGAGAAAGAGACTGAGTGCATGCGCGAGCAAGGGAGCGGGCAGAGACATAGAGGGAGAGAGAGAATCCTAAGCAGGCTCGGTGCTGTCAGCACCGAACGTGACACAGGCTCCATCTCACAAACCATGAGATCATGACCTGAGCTGAAAATCAAGAGTTGGGAACTCAACTGACTGAGCCACCTAGGCGCCCATGGAGTGTTAAGTTTTTTTTTTGTTTTTTTGTTTTTTTTTTTATCTCTTCTCCTTTCCCTCACTTTTTTTTGGGTGCAAATTTGATCCCAGTCATTCAAATATTTACCTCAGTTCAGTCTCCTAAATATCTCCTTAATGTGAACACTTTTCTCCTTTTTCACTGCCACTGCTAAGTTCAGGCCGCCATCTTGCCATTCTTTGTATTAATTTCCCATGACTCCTGTAACAAACTACCACATATCAGGTGGCTTAAAACAGCAGAAACTTGTTCTCTCCAGCTGTAGAGAATATCAGCGTTATTGTGCCGAAATCCTGGTGTGTCAGCAGGGCCCCACTGCCCTCCAGAGGCTCTATGGGATGATCCACTTCTCGCCTCCTCCAGCTTCTGTTGGCTGCTGGCATTTCTTAGCTTGTGTCCCATCACTCCAGTCTCTGCCTCTGTGGTCACACGGCCTCCTCCTCCGTGTGTGTCAAATCTCTTTCTCTTACAAATATATGTGTTTGCATTTGGGGCCTACCCAGATAATTTGGGGCAAACTCCCCATCTCAAGATTCTTAATTTAATCACAATTGCGAAGACCCCTTTTTGCCATGTTAGGTGACATTCACAGGTCCCAGGGATTAGGGTGTGACTGTCTTTTGGGGGGCCATTTTTCAGTCTGCCACACCCCAAAACTTTTGCAACCATCTCTGCCTTCTGTCCTCTACTGGGACCCCAAGTTCCTCTAAACACACAGATCAAATCATGTCATTCCCTTGAAACTCTTCAGCAGCCACTTGGCTCTTGGCAGGGTTCTGACACTCTACTGAGTAAGTAGAGTATTCCATCAGAGCTTTTTTTGTGTATTCCATCAGAGCTCTTACCTCGATAGGGACAGTCTCCCTATCACGTATCCACCTTGTACGTGGGATGTTTTTCCTGTGACACACAGTAGGTGCTTAATAAATATGTGTTGAGCCTCTACATCCACCTTGCCAAGAATAATACTCTAACAGAGAGCACTAATCCACCCAGAAGAGTTTTTTGCTGGAGAGGATCATATATGTGAATGCCAAAAGTTCCCACGGATCTTTATTTTTAAGCAGAAACCAAGTATTATGTAATTAAGGGATCAAAGAAAACATTTTCATGCTTATTACATTATTCTGTTTTCTTTCAGGCCATTCCTGTGTTTCTTACTTTGCATAATGTAGCTGAAGTTATCATCTGTGGGCACCAGAAGTGTTTTCGGAAAGAGGTAAATGATAATGCAAAATGCTAGTCTCGCTTCCCTTGCTTTAAATTTCAGAGATGAACTTTTTTTTTTTTTAATGGCCCAAATTAGTGTCTACCTTTTCCTGCCATCTGTTTCCTGTCAGTGGTCAAGACTGCCTGGCAGTCATCACTAATTTCAAGCATCGTGTATTTGACATCTGTTCAGTTCACTGTGCATGTGTGGGAATGCTTGATCTGAATGGCACTCAGCTGCAGGTCTGGGCAGAGCAAGCACCTTGGGATATGAGGAGGAATTTACTGTGGGCCGAGGAATGGGGCCGGGGGTCCTTATTCCCACCCACAATGAACCCCAGGGGCCATAGGGAAACATATCGCAGAGATTCACATAGGGTGAGCATTGGGAGCTCTTGGGAGCTCTTACCCCCCCCCCCCGGGGGAAATCCCCGTTCTTCCCAAGCCCAGCTCTGCCTCACACCAGCTCGAGCAAGTGTCTTTGCTTTCTGTGCCTCCACTGGGGAAAAGGGGACACTAACGACATCTGGCTCATACAGTTGTTGGGAGGACGCAGCGAGGCACATGTGTTAAGTACTTCTGAAAGTTTCTGGCGCCTAGTAGGTATTTATTAACGTTATTAGTGGCAGTTTTAATTTGGTCCTCTTTTGGGAGCTCTTTTTTCTAACATCTGCCCATTTGAGATGGTTTCATATAAAAATGTGGAACTTTCCAACCAGAGAGGCTAGTTGGCCATTCAGGCAGCTCACTTCTTACAGGTGTGTGGGAGAGAGAGGCATCCTTCCCGTGGCCAAGGCCACTCCATACACCTGTGCACCCTGTCATTCCCATCTGCTGCTTGTGGGCAGCTCCATGGACTACCTCCTTATCCTAGATAACTGACCTCTCTCTGTCTCTGCTGGCTGACTTTCCTCAGCCAGTGGACACACTCAGTGCTCTCAGTCCACCAAGGATGGAGTGGGCCTTGGGAGCACCACCAACACTAACCCAGCTCTGAAAGGCAGTGTTTCTAAAACCAACATTGGATGCCAACGCCGGTGCGCTCTCTTGCCTGTGCACCCCTCTGCCTCCGCCCCACCGCGTCCTTGCCCTCCCCCAGCACAGTGTGTGAGGGAGGAAGGGTCAGGTTCAGAGCTGTTCATGGCCTCGTGCCCCTCTCACCCCCAACCTGCTCCTGCTTCTGCCCCCACCATTCCCCTGGAGTTGCTCAGGCTGAAGTCACCGATGGCTGCGTTTATGCGACTTACGTTGGCCTTGTACACCATTCATCAGGTTCACTGCTGCCTTTCCTTGAGTCTCTTGGCCCCCTTGACCTGCTGGTTCTCTTCCCCGGTCTCTGGCTCTTCCTTCTCCCTTTCTTTCGTCTGCCCTTCAGGGTCTCCCAGGGCTCTGTGTCAGGAGCCCTTTGTTCCCATGCACACTCTTTCTGGATAGTCTCACCCACACCCATGGCAGCGCCCCCGCTCCGTTCACTGTGACTCCTGTGTCCCATCTCCAGCCCAGGCCTCTCTCTTGAGCTCAGATCCCCATGGCCTGCTGCCTCTAGCTGTCTGCCCAGCTGTTTCCCGGGCATCTGAAATGCAAAGGGACCAAACCGGAACTGCTGTTTTCCTAACCTGCTTCCTACTTGGCGATCCCATGATCCTGATCATCACCACCCAAGTCAGAAATATAGGGGTTCTTAGAGTCCTGGTTTGGTCGTCTTCCCCCCACCCCTCCACCACACCCTGTTTCTGAATCTGTCCCCTCCTCTCCATTCCCACTGCTGCTGTCACCTTGGTCAGATGCTCATCTGTTTTTCAGGGCTATCTGGCTAGGGGCCAAATGACATCTTGCTCTCCCAAGCCCTTGGGCAGCCAAGTAGGGCCTGGGGTGAGCAGACCTGGCTTGGACCGTCTTTGCGTTGTGTGTGTGCCGTCGCCTGCCATCACCTGCCATCGCCTGCCAGGTGTGCAGTAGTGCCTGGCTGCCTTCCCTGCCTCTGCCCCTGCTTCTCCCCCTGCCTCTCCCCCTCACCTTCCTCCACACTGCACGCAAGTGACCTCCTGATACAGATCCGATCACGTCCCCATGTACTTGGGGACTACGCATGACCTACACAGAGGCATGTAAAGCTTGTCACCACCAGGATACCATCTACCTCTAGGGTTTTAGAAAATCCAGCCACAACCAAACTTCTCATGTTTCCTAGACCATGTCGTGATGTTTTCTTTCTTGTGATCTGTCAGAGAACCTCTTCAACACCATCTCATTTATTCTAAATACGTGCCTACTGTGCCAGGCTCTGAGTCTATAGTAGTGAGGAAGAGGCATGGCCCTACCATTCTGGGCTCCTCGTACGGAGCATCAACCGAGAAGGGAAGACACTAGACAAATCATTACACCCACCTGCTGGATTGTACGGCCCAAGAGGCCACTCTAGGGAAGTGACATTTAAACACAGACAAAGGCTGAACAGGAGTTCAACAGGTGGGGCAAGGGGAGGGCTCCCAGGAAGAGGAGCCATCTGATGCAAAAGGCCAGATGTAGGAAGGGATTTGGCCAGTGAGGCTGGAGCTTGACAAGAAAGAGAGGGTGGCTTAGGATGAGACTGGAGTCGGGACAAGACTTTGAGGCTGGGCTAGGAATGTGGGGTTTATGCTGAGCTCAGTGAACGGCGAGGGTTGGGTGTGAAAGGCCCGAGGGACCGATCAGATTTACAGCGTTGAAAGCTCATCCAGCTGTCTATGGAGGAGAAAGGACTGCAGGAGGTGAGAGGGGACCCTGTGGTGACTCTCGAGGTCTCACGAGGGAGGCTCTCAGTATCTTAGGCTGGTCTGCATGCAGCTGGAGCCTTCCCTGACACCTCAAGGAGCGTGAGCACCTCTCTCTGACTTTATACCTCTCACACCATCTGGCAATTTCCATATTTCATCGATTACATGCTGCTTTTTTTTCACGTTAAAAAAATACTACTGGAGCACCTGGGTGGCTCAGTCAGTTAAGTGTCCGACTCTTGATGTCAGCTCAGGTCATGATCTCACGGTTCATGAGTTTGAGCCTGGCATCGGGTTCTGTGCTGACATTGTGGAGCCTGCTTGGGATTCTCTCTCTCTCTCTCTCTCTCTCTCTCTCTCCCCCCCCCCCCCGCCCCATCCCCTGCTTGCACCTTCTCTCTCAAAATAAATAAACTTTTAAAAAAGTATTCACTACCTATAGTTGGGACGCTTTTACTATCAATGGCCTGCCATGGTCAAATGCTTTCTTTCTTGATAGTATATAAAAGAATGGGGAATTTTACAATCAGTGGCATCTGAGGTTCAATGAAACGCAGTAGGAGTTTCCCTGGGTCTCTGCCTGCTTTCTCAGAGCCCCCCTTGGCAGGGACCACGTGTTCTCTGCAAAGCCCCGAAGTCCAGCCCCAGAATTGCCAAGCTGAATATTCACTAGCCAGTCACTGAGGTCAAGAAACTCACCAAGAGTTGCTCAGGTTCTGGGAGACTGACTCATGCTTCTTATCTTCAAAGTGGACACCTTTGTTGTGAATTGAAAATGAAGATTCATCTGGTCTAGGGAAGAGATCCAGGCATTTCTACAAGGTATTTCTTCCTGGTGGACAAGTCTGATCACATAGTCAAGGCTGCGCGTAAGAAACAGGGTTAGAGAGTCCTCAGGGGTATCTCCATCAGGCAAAAACCAGGGGCCAGACTTCCAGGCTGAGAGGAAGAAACTGGATAAACGCCAAAATATTTTGAATCTTCATCTCCATTTCATCACTAACACTAAACAGCATTGTTTCTTTTTAAAAAAAAATTTAATTCCAGTATAGTTAACATACAGTGTTACATTAGTTTCAGGTGTACAATACAGTGATTCAACAATTCCATACATACATCACCCGGTGCTCATCACAAGTGTACTCTTAATCCCCCTCATCCATTTCACCCATTCCTCCACCCACATCCCCTCTGGTAACCATCTGTTTGTTCTCTATAGTTAAGAGTCTGTTTTTTGCTTTACCTCTTTTTTTTTTTAATGTTTGTTTGTTTTATTTCTTAACTTCCACATATGAGTGAAATCATATGGTGTTTGTCTTTCTCTGACTGACTGACTGCACTTAGATTATACCCTCTAGGTCCATCCATGTTGTTGCAAATGGACAGATTGCATTCTTTTTTATGGCTGAATAATATTTCATTGTATATGTATATGCCACATCTTCTTTAATTCTTTTTTAAAGTTTATTTATTTTCAGGGGCACCTGGGTGGCTTAGTCGGTTGAGAATCCGACTTTGGCTCAGGTCATGGTCTCATGGCTTGTGAGTTCGAGCCCTGCATCGGGCTCTGTGCTGACAGCCCAGAGCCTGGAGCCTGCTTTGGATTCTGTGTCTCCCTGGTGTTCTGCCCTTACCCTGCTCATTCTCTCTCTCTCTCTCTCAAAATAAATAAACATTAATAAATTTTTTTAAGTTTATTTATTTTGAGACAGAGAGAACATGAATTGGGTAGGAGTAGAGAGAGAGGGAGAGAGAGAATCCCAAATAGGCTCTGCACTGTCAGCGCAGAACCCAACTCGGGGTTTGAACCCACAAACTGTGAGATCATGACCTGAGCCGAAACCAAGAGTTGGATGTTTAACCAACTGAGCCACCCAGGTGCCTCAATATGCCACATCTTCTTTATACATTCATCTGTTGGGACACTTAGGTTGCTTCTATAATTTGGCTATTGTAAATAGTGCTGCAATAAACATAGGGGTGCATATATCTTTTCAAGTTAGTGTTTTTGTATTCTTTGGGTAAATACCCACTGGTGAAATTACTGGATCATAGAATAATTCTATCTTTAACTTTTTGAGGAACCTCCGTATTGTTTTCCATAGTGGCTGCACCAGTTTGCATTCCCACCGGCAGTGCATGAGAGCTTCTTTTTCTCCACATCCTCGTCAACACTTGTTGTTTCTTGTGTTGTTGATTTTAGTCATTCTGACTAGTGTGAGCTGATATCTCATTGTAGTTTTGATTTGCATTT